ATGATGATGATGATGATGACGTGATGCTGATGCTGATGAGGAGGATGATGACGAAGAGGAGGAGGAGGAGGAGGGGGAGGAGGCGGCGGGAGGAGGAGGGGGAGGAGGAGGAGGAGGAGGAGGAGGAGAGGAGCAAAGGAGGAGGGGAGGAAGAAGAGGAGGAGGAGGAGGAGGAGGAAGAGCAGCAGAGGCGGCGGCAGCCTGCGCAGCTCCAGGCGGGCGCGGGCCGCGCCCGCGCTGCCCGCGCTGCCAGGCGCCCACAAGCTGGCCTGCGCCCGCCCTCCTCACTCGAGGGGCTGCTGCTGCTGCTGCGCCTCTCGTGCCCCAGGGTGGAAGGATCTGTTCTCCCTCTCCTCCGTGCTCTTCCTCCTCCTCCTCCTCCTCCTCCTCCTCCTCCTCCTCCTCCTCCGCTTTCTCATCCTCCTCCCCCTCCCGCCTCATTATCGTCCTCTTCCATCTCCTCCACCTCCTACACCTCCTCCAACCCCTCCTCCTCTTCCTCCTCCTCCGTCTGCTCCTTCTTTGTCTCCATAGCATTCTTCTCGTCATGATCCGTACTAGTCGAATTATCAGCATTATCGTTATAGTTGGGAGTCTTACTATTGCTAGTTGTATGAAACATTGACTGCTCGTATTACCAATATTCGTGTATGTTTAATGGCACTAATAATATTACTATTAACATTACTACTATGGTCAGTCGTGCTAGCAGTATTCTCATTGTTATTACTATTATGAATAGACTTCGTGATGGTAGTATGATTGTTTTTCATATGCTTCTGCGCCCCATCCTCCTCCAGCTCCTTCTCCTCCTCCTCCTCCTCCTCCTCCTCCTCCTCTTTTTCCTCATCCTCCTCCTCCTCCTCCTTCCAAGCCTCCTGCTGCTCCTGCTACTCCTCCTCCTCCTCCTCCTCCGTCTCCTCCTCCTCCTGCTGCTCCTCCTCCTTCTCTTCCTCTTCCTCTTCCTGTTCCTCCTCCTCCTCCTCCTCCTCCTCCTCCTCCTCCTCTTCATCCTCCTACTCCTCCTTCTGCTCTTCCTCCTCCTCCCCCTCCCCCTCCTCCTCCCCCTCCCCTCCCCCCCCCCCCTCCCCCCCCTCCCCCCCTCCCCCTCCCCCCTCTCCTCCTCTCCTCCTCCTCTCCTCCTCCTCCTCCTGCTCCTCCTCCTCCTCTCTCCTCCTCCTCCTCCTCCTCCTCCTCCTCCTCCCCTCCTCTCCTCCTCCTCCTCCTCCTCCTCCTCCTCCTCCCTCCTCTCCTCTCCTCCTCCTCCTCCCTCCTCCTCTCCTCCTCCTCCTCCTCCTCCTCCTCCTCCTCCTCCTCCTCCTCCTCCTCCTCCCCTCCTCCTCTCCTCCTCCACCCTCCTCCTCCCTCCTCCTCTCCTCCTCCTCCGTCTCCTCCTCCTCCTCCTCCTCCTCCTCCTCCTCCTCCTCCTCCTCCTCTTCCTCCTACACTACTTACTTACTTCCACTTTGCCCTCATCGGCAAAATGCTGCTGTCACGGAGAAGCGCGCGGAGTGTTCCCAGGAGCAGCTCCACAAAACATGTCAGGAGTTGTTTGCAAAAGGTGGTTTTGCTCAGCGTGTCGCGGCGGCGGCCCCAGCGACGCGTTCCTCCGCCGTCTTCCGCCGAATTTACGCCAGCGGGGCCATTCTTCCGCCGCCTTCTGCCGAGGAAGATATGGCACCTCCGTCGGCCTTCTGGAACGCCTCGTTAGAAAAAGGAACCCTACAAGGTCCGTGGCCTCCTGGGCACGTTCTTTTCCGCACGCCCCGACCGTACCTGCAGGCGCACGGCAGATTCCTGCGTGCCCCAGGAGGGAGGAGGGAGGAGGAGGAGGAGGAGGAAGAGGAGGAGGAGGAGGAGGAGGAAGAAGAGGAGGAGCAAAAGCCCACGGAATAAATGTATATATATATATATATATACATACATATAATACATATATATAAATATAAATATGTGTGTGTGTGTATGTCGCACAAGTCTCGGCATGCTGGTGAGCCCTCGTCTGGAAGAGAGCGCGGAAGAGGAACCGATTTTTGGAGCAGATTTCTGGGTGGTGGGAGGGCACGCGTTGTGCCCCCCCACCCCAGGCCGAGCGCCCACTCGCGCCCGTGCCGTGCGCAGCGCGCGGCCGACCCGCGCCCCCGCGCAGCCGCGGCAGTCATCCCGCACGCGACGGCGGCCGCCTGCGCCGCCTCATCCCTCCTGCTCTGGCGTGCTGCGCCGAGCCTGGCCCTGCCTCACAGCAGGAGGCGGATGGAAGGCCCGCCGCGCTCTGCACGCTGTGTGCGGGCGCACTTGGCCTCCTTCTGCCCCTCGGCCTCCAGGCTGCTGTGATGCTGCGGGCGCCTCCGCTCGCGCCCAGCAGCTGCGGCCGCGCACCCGCCGACCTCCCGCGCCATCGCCTGTCCAGCCGCGCCCTCGCCAGCTGCGTTGGCCTGGGCCACCAGGCTGGCTCGCCGGTCCGCACGGGCAGAAGCGCCCACGCGGGCTGGTCGCTGGGGCTGTGCATACCCCCCGTCAGCTGCGCTGCTGGGGCTGCCTGCCTTCGGGCCCGCTGCTGCGTGGCTGCCCCGCACGGCCGCGGCTGCAAGGCGTCGGGCTTGCTCGGCACGCAGGCGGGCTCTGCCGTCCTGGAGGTCCATGTCGTCCCCCCCTGTTCGCCTCCTGCCCCCGAACTTTTCTGGCGGTGCCGCTCCCTCCTCCCCCGTCACCCTTGATCGCGTCGTGACGACGATCGCGACGGGAGGTGGTTGGCCATGTGCGGCCTCGGGGGGGGCCCCCACCGGGCCCCGGGACCGCCAAAAGACGCCTCAGGATGAAACGCCGGTCCTGGGGAATGGGTCGAGACTTCTGGGGGCCCACCGTGTGAAAAAAATACGGCGTCGGGGATCTGGGGGCGGAAGGGGGGGAGGAGGGCAGCAGTTGCTAGAAGCAGCTGTCAGACATTTCGCGCCGAGTGAAAACCACAGGCGCCACCAACCACCAGGAGAGGTCCGCGAGAACGACACTCGGGCAGCGCCGCAAGCAAGATCCTCAAATCAGTCGGCTGCCTAGGCTGCACGGGGCGCGGACGGACGAGCTCAACCCTATTAAACAAAAGCGTGGGACAAGGAGGAGGAGGAGGAGGCGGAGAAGTAAGAGGCGAAGGCAAAGATGAGGAGTCGGAGAGGGAAGAGGAGGGGGGGGCCAAGAGGATGAGGGGGGAAGGCGGAGGAAGACAAGGCCTCGTCCTATGCCTCCCCCTCTGTCCAGATGGTTTCCGGTGCCACCACCTCGTCCTCCTGATCCTCCCCCTCCACCTCCTCCTGGTGCTCCCTGTGCTCGCCTTCTCCTAATCCCCTCCCCCTGCCCCCTCCTCCTCCTCCTCTGCCCCCTCCCCCTGCCCCCTCCCTCTGCGTATCATCCTCTGCCCTCTCCTCCTAACCATTCTCCTCCCTCTCCTCGACTGGGGCCCTCTCTTGCCGCAGCGGCGGGAGAGATAGGGAGGAACGGAGGATAATGATGAGGATGAGCAGGATTAGAGGGATCAGAGGGAGGAGGAAGAGAGGAGGGAACGACACTGCAGGAACAGTTGGATGGTGCAACGGTGTATGTTGACGAACAGGGCAAGCAGGAGTATGGGGACCAATGGACATCGAGTAGTAGTAGTAGTAGTAGTAGTAGTAGTAGTAGTAGTAGTAGTAGTAGTAGTAGTAGTAGTAGTAGTAGTAGTAGTAGTAGTAGTAGTAGTAGTAGTAGTAGTAGTAGTAGTAGTAGTAGTAGTAGTAGTAGTAGTAGTAGTAGTAGTAGTAGTAGTAGTAGTAGTAGTAGTAGTAGTAGTAGTAGTAGTAGTAGTAGTAGTAGTAGTAGTAGTAGTAGTAGTAGTAGTAGTAGTAGTAGTAGTAGTAGTAGTAGTAGTAGCAGCGGTAGTAGTAGTGGTGGTGGTAGTGGTAGTAGTGGTAGTAGTGGTGGTAGTAGTAGTAGTAGTAGTAGTAGTAGTAGTAGTAGTAGTGGTAGTAGTAGTAGTAGTAGTAGTAGTAGGAGGAGGAGGAGGAGGAGGGGATGAGGAGGAGGAGGAGGAGGAGGAGGAGGAGGACCTATCCGCTCTTCATTCCGAGTCGTTATTCAACGAGGGCCTCGATAGAACAAACGTAGCCCAAAACCTTCCGCCGTGATTCTTGTCACGCACGACGGCAGGGGACCTCCAGGACGAGGAGGGAATGATAATAGAGCCAGAAACACTGCACAGACATCATCTTTCGGAGGTCCGAGCGGAATTCTCGTCCCCCCTCCCGTGCGCGCGGAGCGCGCAAGGGGCGGCGCCGGAGGCGCCGCCTGGTTGGTCCACAAGCGAGCTTTATGTTTATGCAGTTTTTCCCTGCACAATGCTTTAGCATAAAGGGTTCTTACCTGGTGCTGAGAATTGCGCGCTCCGAGGCCTCTGCCGGCTCTGCTGATGTGGAGCCGTATCATCCCGCATGCTGGGCGGGAGGGCATACAGTGGTGATCGTGCGTTCCTATTTGGGGTCGACGCTTGGGTGATTTCTTCCTCGAGACGAGGGAACGCGGCACACGCCACTAGAGTTTGTGTTAATCTGCTCCTGCTACTCCTCCGCTGCTGGACCGCCCCTTGTTTCGCCACGGGTTGGACCAATTTCCTCTGTAGTTTGCGGGGCTAAAGGGGCGCGGCCGCGGCCGCTGGAGTCCTCACGAACAGCGCAAACATGGGCATCCGCTGTGCTCGCTCGCGCTGCCACGGTCGGTCTGCACGCCAGAGCAGGAGCAAACGAGCCACTTGGGCGTTGCCAAATGCGTTCCTGGCCCAAGATGGCCCCAGCCTTTCGCGCCGCTCTGGGGTTCCTCAGGCCCTGCCTCATGAGGGGGTGCTCTGGAGGCCACCTGGGCCTCCCAGGAAGTCCTGGTGGCACAAGGGGCCAGGGACACCTCTGGCAACGCCCGAACTGGGCGAATGCCTCCGTGGGGGGGAGGAGGCGCCCCGCAGAAGCGCCAGGAGGCCTGCTTTAGCGCCGCCCTCGGCAGCGCCAGGCCGAGCTCTGCGCCCAGCGCGGAACACGGCGGCCTGGGGTCCTGCACGACGCAGCCGTCGACGACGACGATGGAGGTCGCCGTTGTCGTCGACGATCATCGTCGTCATCGTCCTCCTCGTCGACGATCGTCGTCGACGTCACCGTCGTCATCGTCGTCGAGCATCGTCGATGTCGTCGTCGTTGCCGCCGCCGTCGCCGTCACCCAAGAAAGACAGCACCAACAACTGAGGTACACGCGGATGTCTCATATCAGCGGCGGCGCCTCGGGCGCCGCTTGTGAGCGCCGCCGCCGAGACCATACGTAAAGTATTGGGATCAGAAACCACTCGTGTACGGTGTGTCAAACGCGAATGACACTGGCACGATGTCTTGGCCCGCTTTCGCGCGCCCGAACAAACAAAAAACAACGACAGAGGTGAGGGAGACGAATCAAAGAGGCAGCATATAGAGACCTACCGTCCGAGTCTGGCGTTCAAACGAGTACGCCTGTGCCTCGTTAGCCCGGCTACAAAAACCGCCCCCACAGCAACGAAGCAAAAGTAAGCTAAGATGAGGGGGGCGTCCTACTAACCACGCCCCTTGTAAACAGTTGCGCGAGTGATGGGGGGCTGGGCACAGAGGACCTTCTACTGACCAGGTCCCGGTTGAAAGCTGCCTTACATCAGAAAGCTCGCCTGGAGCACGCGGGCCTTTTCACTTGCATGCTCTGCTGTCCGAAATCTGCTGCTCCAAGAACACAGTTCGTAGAAACAGCTCACTCACTGCCATGCTTCGCCCCGCGTATCTCTCTCCTCCTGATGGACTGTGTCGCATCCGCGAATACAAGACGCATTATGCGCGTCGGTCATTGCGTGCTCGAACGTCGTCCAGACATGTGACATTGGGTCACCCAATAGCCTTCGTCGTTGTCCCTGTTGGGGTTGCTGTCGCGGGAGCTCGGCAACGTCTTCTTGTGCCGCTCCTCGCTATAACTCACTGAAGGGGCGTTCGGAGGCGAGCTCCCCCTCAACGATGTCGAGGATGAGCTCCCCGCGAATGCTCTCTTCGTCACGGGGTCGGCTCTCATGTCGCGGGCGTCGCACCCCAGCGTATCGGATGCCTGTTTGGTGCGCAGCTGTTCTGCTAGCCACCATAGGCGACCTGCCTGCTGTTCTCTGATGGCGGCCGCGCGCGATCCATGGCCAATGCGGAGAAGACGGACATGCCGTCCACGACCGGATCAGCCAGCACAGCGTACCCTTCCTCCTCTGCGGAGGCGTGTCCGCGCACCATCACGCGGAGCGTCAGGACGCGCGCCTGTAAGCCATCTGCTGTCGCACATGCTGCGAGCATCTCAGAGCGGAAGGGTGATCGACACGCAAGCTTGTGCGATCGGCTCACAGCGTCGAACCAATGGCAGATATGTTTACCAGTGCTGCGACACCTGCCGAGACGCATGTCTGCGGCCCCGCGCATGCCGCAACCTGTCTCCCCCTCGCGCTTGAACGAGCCGTCGCTGCCCGCGCAGATCTGGCCCGCGCACTCCATCGCAATGAGGGTGACGCGCGCCTTGACATTCTGCGTGGTCAGAACGACGGAGTTAAGCTACATAGAGAACGCACCTTGACGTTCTGCGTGGTCAGAACGACGGAGTTAAGCTACATCGAGTGCGTGATGAGCAGCTTGTTCTTGGCACGCTACAGCGCCGCGATGCAGGTGGCGACGCGATGTAGCGCGAGCAGCGCGAGCGCTGCCAACTGTACGATCGCCTGGAGGAGCGCGCATAGGGATCCAGGTCTGCCTCGGGGCAGGGAGTGCGCTGGTAACGTCGAGGGTATGTCCCGGAAAACAAATATAGAGGAGTCCCTAGCTTTTGCTACACCCCCGGAAGGATGGCAACATATTTGCCTGACCCTCCTCTACACTCCCGCCTTTGCCTGCTCGCGCCCCCCCCCCCCCCCTCCCTGGCTTCCACAATGCAGTTGCGGACAACCCGGGACGCCTTGCCGACGATGTGGGCGTCGGATCGAACGGCTGATTGGCATGGTCGGCTACGCCCACACGCGGGTGCAATGAGGCCGACGCGTCCCATGCCTCTTCCCCCGTCGGCCTTCCGCAACACAGGTGCGAATGCGTGAAAACCCCAAGCATCTCGAACACAGTCAGAGAGTACCCGATGGGAAATGCAGGAGGGCGAGGGTCGCGGTCCCTGATGTCGATGTCCTGGTAGTGGTAATTGTGCTTGCATCCCAAAGTCAAACCTGGCGGCGGGGCGGCATCGGCGCCGCCGGCCGCCGCGATCAGTCAATAGAGCATGAGGGGACGAACCTGAAGGAGGAGGCAAGGCAACTCTGGGGTACTATCACATGCGCCTACTGACGTACAAAAAAAAGTTAGCACCTGAATGACATCAGAGATGCAGCTTCTCACAGCGGTTGGCGCTGCAGGTGGAATTCGCACGGGCCTCGACCCGCTTTGAAACTGGGAAATGCCAGTGAGGGGTGATGGTACCGCCATACTTTCGCAGTTAAAAACCGCTGGCATTCGAACAAGGACGTTGCTTGATATGCTGCTCTCGGACCTTGGGCGCAAAGCGAATCCTCTCGGCTCCCGCGAAATTGTATAGTCTGATTGGTTGTAGACTGCAGGTTAAGTGGGAGGGGGCGTGGGCTCAGGTAGCCATTTTGGGTCCGTAGCGTTCGGCTCTGGCCGATGCGCGGGTGTTCCAGGGGGCCGCGGGGCGGCCATAACCACAGCCGTGCTAGTCCGCGGACTAGGTAGCGCGCCTGTGGTGCCATGGCTGTGGGCTTCCTGGGGGCGCACCTGATGATCTTGGTTACGGGCGGCGCTCTTACGGTCCAAGGGGCACTTGGCTGGCTGCCATTCGGGCGCGGGGGACATGAGGTCCCAGCGCCGACGCCGCCAGCCCTGCCCGGGCCGACAGCGCCGCCGGCAGGCGGTGGGGGGCGAGGCAAGGGGCGAGGACCGCCCGCCAAGCCCGCGCCTGCAGGGGGAAAGGGGCGAGGGCCGCAGGCCAAGCCCCCGGGGACGCCGGGCGTCCCACCGCCGCCGCGGTCAGGGTCGACTACAACGACCACGACCGCGGGCATCGGGCGCGTAGGCGAGGGCGAGCCCACAGGCAGCCCAGCTACGCCGGCATACGGAGGTAACAACGAGCCCACGGGCGCGCCTGGGCAGCCGTCCGCCCCGGGAAACCGGACGGGCGATGGTGAGCCTGACCTGCCGCGTGGGCTGGACGGGTATTGGGGGTGGAGTGGTTGGGTCCCGCACCTGCCCCATTGGTGGGCTGGCCGGAGCGAACCCCCACCGCCGCCGCCGCCACCTACCCCGCCCCCGGAGGCAGGGCCGGGTCCCGGTTGGGGCTTCGCAGCCTGGGTCTTCGAGGTCGTGGGCTATGGAGCGTGGGTAAGCTCCCCCGACCACCCGGGCACGATCCGCACGAGTGGCGGATGGATTGGATCCGCCGTCGACCGCCTGGGCGTTAAGATGCTTGGGTATTGGTGGGAGACCGCGGTCTTATGCTTTGCCCTAGGCATCTTCACGTTCGTGTTGGGTGCCCTGGCCTTCATCGTCAACACCGCAGCCCAGCCTATGCTGTGGGCTGCCGGGGGACTCCGCTGGGCGTGGTACCAGATTACCCGGTGCTGCCAGCGACGCGGAGGGGATGGGCCCGGCGCCCATCTTCCCCCACCCCCTCCGACCCCCTTGCTGGTGCGCTGGCGCGGGCCGGGCTTGGGCGGCGTGGTGGAGACAGAGTTCTACACAAAGGGGGTCCGCGGCCGAGGGACCAATCGGGCGTACAACCACGTGCTGCTGCGTAAGCACGGGCAGGTGGCCCGCATCAGCTGCAACTTCGCGGACCGGTACCGATTGGACCGCCACGGGCTCAACATCAAGATCGGGCAGGTCCTGGGGTGCACCAGTCGCAAGTGGCGGCTGAACCTCGAGGAGACAGGGAATGTGCATCTATGTCGTGCTGTCGAGTGCGCCTCCTGTCCAGTGGCGCATCCCATGCACGTCGACCAGTACGCGGCCATTGACCACACACAGATCGTGGACTTGGCTGAGCACGGAAGGGCCACGGCCTGCCGGGCAGTCGGCGTGGGACTCCGGAAGGTATTCGGGGTCGTCAAGTGGCTGCTTTGCTCACCCTGGTCGGTACTCGGATGGCTGTGCCGGGGCCGGCCGGAGCCCCGCTACATCACCGACGCCACGGGCTATCGCCGCCTGGACATCGACTCGGAGAGCGAGGTGGAGGCGGAGGAGCGCCCCTGCCAAGCCGCACAAGTTGGGGCGCAGCTCGCGGGTGGCGCACGCCCCCTCCAGCCGGAGGGGTGCGGCGACCGAGGGATGCAGGAGGCCGCTGTCCTGCTACAGGAGGACGCGGAGGTGTCGGACGTTCCCCGGCCGGGGCATTGTCTCAATGCACAGGTGCACCTCTGCGCCCACCATGCGCAGAAGTATCGGTCTACCCTGATCGGCCGCAAGTGCAGCCTCCCCACTTGTCTCCGCATGGCGAAGGGTAGCTGCGGGGGGGCCCCGATGTGCGGGGAACATCTCCGACGGGACGAGGGTCACACCGCGCGCGTCGAGGCGACGGTCCAACCTGGGATCCTCGGGGGCCTGCGCCGCCGCATGCGGGCGCGGGCTCCAAGCCCCGCCAGGGCGCGCGATTGGACCGCGCACGCTGCCGATGGGGTTGGCATAGCGCCCGAGCCGGTCTACCCCCCGCCTCTACCTCCCCCCGCTGCACCGCCACCGCCCGTCGTGGCCCCATCTGTCGATGTGGAGCCCACGGGGGCGCAGGCCCTAACCTCGGGGCCGCAGCCGCGTCGCACGCGCTCCGCGGAAGCAAGGGCCAGCGGACGCTCACGGTCTGCCGACCGCGGGGCCCCGGGCGATCGGATCGCCCACCACGGGTGGCTTCAGGAGCCCCTACTCGTGAAGGTCTGCCCGATACTCCCGGGCGACCCTCGGGGAGCCGAGGAGGCGCACGGCGCGCCCCCGGCGAGTCCTTGGTTTATTCTATTGG